TACACAGATGACCCTGCTATCACGTAAACCCGGGTGAGGACAGCGGTGTTAGGGGTAGGGTAGTTAATAACACAGATACCCTTGATTATTACTGTCGAGAAGGTCCAGAACCCAGTGAAGGTAAAGACTGCACCAGAGACGACGAGGACGACGATCACTGTGTTTCTTTTGGAACATATTATCCCTGCTTTCAAGGGAAACCACACAGCAATAAAGCGTTCTGCACATATAACAACAATGAACCAGGACGACGCAATTTTGGATCCTCTGTGCACGATGAAGAAAATGTGACAGCCGACCCAAGACAGGGCTCGTATGTCATACCCAATCAGTTCTCTGACGAAGACTTTGCTGAAAGGGAATACGATGCTGTACGTGGAGTCAGAGATAGCCAGGGCAATTAGGAAGATGCTGCAGGGAGAGTTCCAGAAGCTTTTACTGATCATTACGATGATTGTCAGGCAGTTGCCCGTCAGACTGAAGACCAAGAACACAGGCATCGTGGTGTAAGCCACGTATCTGATGACCGTGTCTGCTGTGGAGATTTCAGGTGATGCTGATGAGGCATTAGAACATTCAACATTGTCATCACTGTGAGTGCAGTTGCACCACGGTGTAGACGAATTTGTATTCCTAGTGATGATTTCGGGTCCATGTGGAATAGTCATGTCAGCAGAGGTGTTGTGTTTTTCACACGATCTGTGTTTATTCGTGGTGATGATTCTTGGGTTTTCTCCATCATCAGATGTCTGAAACGCCTCGGTGGAGAAACCATCATCTTGTGTACTGACGAGGGTGTGGAGAGTGTGGAGAGTTAGGATCATACCAAGCAAAAGGCAACGCATCCTGAAAGTAAATTCCACACAACTAAATTCCACGATTAATCGTAATAAACTATTCACTCTATTCCTTGAAACGAATGCATCAGTTTGTCAACGAATGACATTGGGAATAATTATATTCCTCAAAACGAAAACCAAACAAAAACACATATATTAGAAGGACATAAGCACATATACAGTGAGTTAAGCACGGATATGTCATTTGCTACCACACATGTACGTTACTGAAGAAGTATTATCCCAAACATAACAGCATGATGCATTTGACACTTTCTAAATGACATTGTGTATTCAAAGCTCCGGTTATGGGAACCAGTCACATCGGCAATATTTCAGCCATATCGTGACTACCAAATCTTTGTATTAATAAAAAGACCTTAAACGATATATATATACCTGTCAACAGTATATAGCACAGTAAATTATCTAGAAAATCACAGAATTACATAAAAAAACTAGCACGCAACCATAAAACAATATTTCTATACACAATACATTATGAAATAGGGCTATAGATCGCCAGAAGCCGAAGGTAGGTCGCCATACCAGGGACTATGGGGACTTACAATATTTTTGCTACCTGCATGGACATTGGCTGAATTTACACCATTCGTTCAGATGCAAGCGATTGTTGACAAATCTAGCCATGATTTAAAAAAGACACATTTCCTACAATTAAGATACTTTGAAGCTTTCTGGACTACCGTACCCTCTCAGGGGGACAATAATTTAACGCTTGTCAGAGGGGTACACAAAGTACGTGATCTAGACTACCATGCTTCCATTTTTGTGTAAGCCGTTGTGGCTGAGTGGGTTAGATCGCTGACTGTGTACTAGCGATCAGGTGCCTCACTCTGAAAATCTGGCTTCGAATTTCGGATAGATCTCACCCCATAACACATTAGAAAATATGTAACAACAATAAATGTGCTGCACCATTACAGCTGCGACCAAATGCACATGTTGTGCAAATGCTTGCCTTCTTTCGAAATGGACTTTATTTGGTCCAAACTTTAGGTAAAGTGCCAAATAATCGATATCCTTTAATATGCAGTTTCAAAACATATCCATTCCATTACATGAAAACTGTTGATGTATAATCTTTTGTATTTCTATATATATGTATTACTAGTTTTTAGTTTACGTTTGTGAAAATCTAGTTGCTTTACTGACCGGACAGATGTTATACATTCCAAAGCTATTCATTGTTAAGGTATAGTTACTATATGGCTTAAGGGTTACCCGCGATAGAACTGCATTCGGTTTCAACAGGAACCAATGATATATCAAAAACCTTCAAATTGTTTTTTGATAAAACGCAAAACTCTCTAATTTGGCATTTATAATATGCACATTTTACTTATAGCTGAACTTCATAAACATGGTAATTGACTTAACATTTCACCCCCTCCGTGGTGTCGTGGTTAGAGCGTCTGCTCAGAGAGCGGGAAGTCGTGGGTTCGATCCCAGGCCGCGTCATACCAAAAGACCAATATGGTTCTTGTTGTCCCTGCCTGGCGCTCTTCATTAATGGGTACAAGGACTGGTCGGCTCGGAGTAAGTATAATGTGTCTGAGTGGGGTATTCGTGCTGAACTGCGGCATTGGTATCCGTGGACTAGTATGAAATAAGCTAGTAAAAGCAGCCACACAAACACACGCATGCAGGTCGTCATATGAGCGAAATATTCTTAAGCACGTGGTTAAACCCCATTTCACCTCACCTCAACTCATCTCACTTGTAGGTTCGTCAGACCTATTTGCGATGGCCATTCAAAGCGTGTGACCGGTGACTAAGGCATATAGGTGGTGTTGGTATATGTAATGTTGCCAGGGATCAGAATACTCGCTTGTATCGAGTTGATCTCACGTGTTGAGCCACACTTGTAGGTGGAAGGTATATTTATAATACACTAGTATATAGTTAATTAATAATAACAGTTTAGATTCCCTTTTCTTAGTAAAGTGCACTTTATAGTACTTTCTGGGATTGTGTAACACCCGAACACCCGAGATTCGTACAAACTCTCAGTGAAGCACCAAACTATATGCACGGGTAGCATAAACAGGGGGACGCATCTCATGCATTTACACAAAACTCAGATTCATAAAAAATACAGTTACTTCTAACAGCTTCTTATATTAGATAGTAATTCACTCGTGAAAACTAATTGTTGTTAAAACACGATATTTCAAACTTCTGCTGAATCTTAACAGGAACGTACAATGTTAAACAAATACACTACTATTGCTTAATATATTACACTGCCATGTAACAGCTGTTTACCGCCACTGTAGTATTGTAGCTAACTGACAGAGCTTCCACGTCTAACATTCTAGTGCATGCATAAGATCACGCGAACTCATTAACTCTGCCTTACGTTCACTTTTTCTTATTTGCTCAGATTTAAAAGATCTTTTGCGTGACTTAAGTAGGTCATTTCCATCATGAAACACACAAATACGTTTACCGGACGGGTGATACACAGACAGACGTGTTGACAGGTGGTGTTTATTCATGGCATTGGAAATGTTTTAATTAACTCGATCTCGCACATTTGGAAATGTTTATCACAAAGGTTGAACACTGACGCAAATCCTGAAAGGGCATAATTTTTTAATGTGTTTTTAAGTAGCCACCAAATTCTGAACATGGGTCGGTCTGTCGGGGGAAAAAACTAAAAAACTAAATGATAAAGACAAAATTAACTGAATAATGTTCCTGCTTCTCATTTATTGTAATTCTTAATACAAATTCTCTCGTTCTTTGGACTTGTGGCAGCGACTGATTAAAACATTTTAGGTAGACGAGGTGGTACGTTTTAGGTTCGAGTCGGCCGTGTTGGAATGAAGGTTTAGATGTTGTTTTGGGTTTGTTTTTTTTTTGTTGTTGTTTTTTGTTATTGTTTGGGGGCGGGGGGAGCTGCAATAAAATTAAAAGGGTCGGGCGGGTGGTGAGAAACACAAAATATAAAAATGCTGCAGTTTAGAAAGCAATATCAGATGACTATTGAGCAGTTGTTTGCATAAATATTACAGTTCAGTTAAGTGAACAAGGAACAAGAGCACGTACAAAATATTCATTGACATTGCAAGTTTTTAACATACACAAATACAGTATTTGTGACTAATACTTCTTGTACTTGCAGGAAAGTTCAAATACAGGAGTCGGACATGTCTCTGCTGCACAGTATGAAGAGATTCCCTATTTCATACCTGACAGATACATGTTGGTTGATCTAAAACCCCAAACACCTCCCCATTTTCGACTTTGTCCCAATGCATTCAGTTTAAAAGGAGACCTCCAAGCTAGGACAATTCAGTCAGAGTTAGACTTTCAGAGTGAGCAGACGTGTGAAGAAAAGCTCCCAACAATGCCATCTTGTGATGACTGTGGTTCAGAAGAAAAACACAGAAGAAACTGGTGTCTCGAAAAGTCCTCAGTGGATCCACCTGGAATACCCCAAGGGGGTTTCAAAAGGAAGTGGGAGGAAGAATCCTCTGCCAGATTGTGACTATTGTGGTCAAGTGTTTAGCAATAACCACAACTTACTATGTCTATGTTTTAGATTCATACACCCTTATCAAACTTGAGTGGCTCTCTATGCATGATATATGTTGTAACAAACAGCAGTTTAACATTTACACCAACAGATAATGGATAACAAGTAGCACACAGTGAGATGAAGCTTAATTTAGAGTAAGAACAAAAATGGAAGCATGTATACAATTTGTTTTAATACTAATTAAACAATTTTACAACGAGCAGTTCTCATCTGTTACATTTCATGCATATATCAATTTGGTTGTGAAACAATAGGCGTTTGATGGTGAACACTTTGTAAGTACTTTCTTAGGTTGTCATGGATACAGGTTTACGGTTCTCATTGATCATTCAAGCGTAGTATTTGTAAAACATGCAGTCGCTTCTAAAACAGGTGTATAACAAAGCATTTTACATCATATGTGTTCATATTTACGGCACCACATGTAGCAAAAGGCTAGTGTGCAGGTTTCTTCAAAGTGACAAAAACCTAATCAGCTTCACATGTCTGTACCCTGCGTTACCAATTGTTGCGAATACTTATAATATATGTATATATAGGTACTGGCTGTGTACGTTTCCATACGTACTGCAGGGCGTATAACGCATAACATGTTAAAATCTTGAGGTGTTGCTGCACGTGTCGACTGTAACACATGACCGGGTGCTGTTGCTGCTTCGTGGCCTCTTCAGTCTCCGACACTTGAGGACCTCCATCACTCTCTTTCGGAACGACCGATTACACATCACATACATCCAGAAGTTGATGGAGAAGTTCAGCTGTTCCATCACCTGAAACACTCTTATATGTGATGTAAAACATGCATAAATACAGACAAATGTGTTCAGTAATAAAGACTATCGGCCCACAATGCAATGTTATGAATACTATACTGTTTACAGGTGGGTTTTTTTCATTGCAAATTATTTAGCTTGTATTGCATGAGAAATGTCTCTCAGTAAATAACAACGAGTGGATTAAGGTTTCCGTTGATGTATTATCTGTATAATATGGATGTGTATGCTGTCTTAGATAAGGTTAGTGTTCACATATCATAAGCACATGGTATTTATCTTCTACTAACGTCTTAACTGTTTTGGCGGTGGGGTAGCCTAGTGGTTAAAGCGTTCGCTCGTCACGCCGAAGAACTGGGTTCGATTCCCCACATGGGTACAATGTGTGAAGCCCATTTCTGGTGTCCCCCGCCGTGATATTACTTGAATAATGCTAAAAGCGGCGAAAAGCCATACTCACTCACTCACTTAACTGTTTTTCAGACAAAATTTGCAGTGTCTCACGAAGAACGTAGTGAATTAATAAAATCAGAACGATACAACAAAGAAAACAGTCGCCAAAACTGCAAATCTAAGGTCCAAGTGAGAATGGTTTACACCGTATTTAGCAATATTTCAGCAATATCAAGGTAGGCGACACCAGAAGTGGGTTAAACACCTTGTGCCCATTTTGGAATCGGACCCTGGAGTGACAAAAATATTGAACACAAAATCTCTACTTGTGTGGATACACATCGTCAACCATCGTCAACTGAGGGTTGATCTCCGTTTTTCGTGAGACACAGCCGAAAAAAAACCGTAAGACGTTAGTAGAAGATAAATACCATGTGCTTATGATTCTAAAAATTAATTCCTAACTCCATTTGTTGTAGGTGACCTGCTAGTTTGCATTTTCAGTAGATTATTTTATGTGATGGGCACGTGTTTTCAGTCAACATTGCTGTTATATACACTGTATTTATTTAACTGATGAAGGTATTATACTGAGTTACACTGTGAGTGTTTAGAAAATTGTTGTAATATTAGAAGCAATCTATGATCTCATTGTAGATTTCAAAAATATATTAGGTTTGTACCTGTGTGTACAAGATTATGAAGAATATGTCCCATACTCAGGCTACGTTCATTTAGTTAAAGACAAGAAGTAACGGTTTGAGTCTTCTCTGACAGGTGGCAGGGTCACGGATGTGTGGGAACAGCTGCACTAGTACCAGTCTGCTTCACGCGGACCACTGTGAGTAATGCATGTGGAATGTTCGTCACTATCAGTGAGTAATCGTCCAAACGGAGGATGTGTGTCAGACATGGATCTGTTTAAATTGCCACTTTTTCTCACATGTAATTTGACAGTTAAGTTCCATAGGTTATCTAAATATGTTTTTATTCATTTTTATAAGTACAACTTTCGTACTCATATGACTGAAATACTGCCGATGTGACTTTAAATTTTAACTCACTAACTCAGTTCCATAAGGGGCATATACACTCAGTTTCCGCAAACTAAACTACCTGCGCAAAAGGAAGTATACTCACACGTGTTATAGCTACTAAAAAATTAAACAAACAAGAAATCGGACCTTATGGGGGCGGCCTAGTTGTTAAAGCGTTCACTCGTCGCGTTGAAGACCTGAAATCGATTCCCACATGGGCACAAGGTGTTTAACCCACTTCTGGGGTTCCCTACATTGATATTGCTGAAATATTGCTAAATACGGCGTAAAACCATTCTCACTTGAACCTTAGGTTTGCAGATTTTTGGCGACTGTTTTCTTTGTTGTATCGTTCTGATTTTTCGGGTGTATATACTTTCTTTTGCTGAGCAATTTACTTTTAGGTTTCAAATGGTTTAGATATGATTTGTTCAAACCTGTACCACAGCTCTTGTGATGGTCATGGCAAGATGGTCAGTTTCAAAAAAATTTACGTTCAGAGAGAAAGAGACATTATGGGCGATGGTCGTTGGGGTGACAAGGACGATGTAGGCAATGGTGACACCCAATAACATGGTGTTCGTGCGAGCCATCTCCGAAGATGTGTTGTCTTCAGCGCTCCTGTTTAGTAGCTGCCTTCGCATTTTCATCTGGATTATGAGCTTGTAACAAATAGCTGGAGTCAGGGCGAGTAGAATAGCAGCTGGAATCACAGAGTACACAGATGACCCTGCTATCACGTAAACACGGGTGAGGACAGCGGTGTTAGGGGTAGCATAGTTAACAACACAGATACCCTTGATTATTACTGTCGAGAAGGTCCAGAACCCAGTGAAGGTAAAGACTGCACCAGAGACGACGAGGGCGACGATCACTGTGTTTCTTTTGGAACATATTATCCCTGCTTTCAAGGGAAACCACACAGCAATAAAGCGTTCTGCGCATATAACAACAATGAACCAGGACGACGCAATTTTGGATCCTCTGTGCACGATGAAGAAAATGTGACAGCCGACCCAAGACAGGGCTCGTATGTCATACCCAATCAGTTCTCTGACGAAGACTTTGCTGAAAGGGAATACGATGCTGTACGTGGAGTCAGAGATAGCCAGGGCAATTAGGAAGATGCTGCAGGGAGAGTTCCAGAAGCTTTTACTGATCATTACGATGATTGTCAGGCAGTTGCCCGTCAGACTGAAGACCAAGAACACAGGCATCGTGGTGTAAGCCAAGTATCTGATGACCGTGTCTGCTGTGGAGATTTCAGGTGATGCTGATGAGGCATTAGAACATTCAACATTGTCATCACTGTGAGTGCAGTTGCACCACGGTGTAGACGAATTTGTATTCCTAGTGATGATTTCGGGTCCATGTGGAATAGTCATGTCAGCAGAGGTGTTGTGTTTTTCACACGATCTGTGTTTATTCGTGGTGGTGATTCTTGGGTTTTCTCCATCATCAGATGTCTGAAACGCCTCTGTGGAGAAACCATCATCTTGTGTACTGACGAGGGTGTGGAGAGTGTGGAGAGTTAGGATCATACCAAGCAAAAGGCAACGCATCCTGAAAGTAAATTCCACACAACTAAATTCCACGATTAATCGTAATAAACTATTCACTCTATTTCTTGAAACGAATGCATCAGTTTGTCAACGAATGACATTGGGAATAATTATATTCCTCAAAACGAAAACCAAACAAAAACACATATATTAGAAGGACATAAGCACATATACAGTGAGTTAGGCACGGATATGTCATTTGCTACCACACATGTACGTTACTGAAGAAGTGTTATCCCAAACATAACAGCATGATGCATTTGACACTTTCTAAAGGACATTGTGTATTCAAAGCTCCGGTTATGGGAACCAGTTACATCGGCAATATTTCAGCCATATCGTGACTACCAAATCTTTGTATTAATAAAAAAAAGACCTTAAACGATATATATACCTGTCAACAGTATATAGCACAGTAAATTATCTAGAATATCACAGAATTACATAAAAAACTAGCACGCAACCATAAAACGATATTTCTATACACAATACATTATGAAATAGGGCTATAGATCGCCAGCAGCCGAAGGTAGGTCACCATACCAGGGACTATGGGGACTTACAATATTTTTGCTACCTGCATGGACATTGGCTGAATTTACACCATTCAGATGCAAGCGATTGTTGACAAATCTAGCCATGATTTAAAAAGACACATTTCCTACAATTAAGATACTTTGAAGCTTTCTGGACTACCGTACCCTCTCAGGGGGACAATAATTTAACGCTTGTCAGAGGGGTACACAAAGTACGTGATCTAGACTACCATGCTTCCATTTTTGTGTAAGCCGTTGTGGCTGAGTGGGTTAGATCGCTGACTGTGTACTAGCGATCAGGTGCCTCACTCTGAAAGTCTGGCTTCGAATTTCGGATAGAACTCACCCCATAACACATTAGAAAATATGTAACCACAATAAATGTGCTGCACCATTACAGCTGCGACCAAATGCACATGTTGTGCAAATGCTTGCCTTCTTTCGAAATTGACTTTATTTGGTCCAAACTTTAGGTAAAGTGCCAAATAATCGATATCCTTTAATATGCAGTTTCAAAACATATCCATTCCATTAACTTGAAAACTGTTGATGTATAATCTTTTGTATTTCTATATATATGTATTACTAGTTTTTAGTTTACGTTTGTGAAAATCTAGTTGCTTTACTGGCCGGACAGATGTTGTACATTGCAAAGCTATTCATTGTTAAGGTATAGTTACTATATGGCTTAAGGGTTACCCGCGATAGAACTGCATTCGGTTTCAACAGGAACCAATGATATATCAAAACCTTCAAATTGTTTTTTGATAAAACGCAAAACTCTCTAATTTGGCATTTATAATACGCACATTTTACTTATAGCTGAACTTCATAAACATGTCGACTTAACATTTCACCCCCTCCGTGGTGTCGTGGTTAGAGCGTCTGCTCAGAGAGCGGAAAGTCGTGGGTTCGATCCCAGGCCGCGTCATACCAAAAGACCAATATGGTTCTTGTTGTCCCTGCCTGGCGCTCTTCATTAATGGGTACAAGGACTGGTCGGCAGGGGGACGCATCTCATGCATTTACACAAAACTCAGATTCATAAAAAATACAGTTACTTCTAACAGCTTCTTATGTTAGATAGTAATACACTCGTGAAAACTAATTGTTGTTAAAACACGATATTGCAAACTTCTGCTGAATCTTAACAGGAACGTACAATGTTAAACAAATACACTACTATTGCTTAATAGATTACACTGCCATGTAACAGCTGTTTACCGCCACTGTAGTATTGTAGCTAACTGACAGAGCTTCCACGTCTAACATTCTAGTGCATGCATAAGATCACGCGAACGACCTCATTAACTCTGCCTTACGTTCACTTTTTCTTATTTGCTCAGATTTAAAATATCTTTTGCGTGACTTAAGTAGGTCATTTCCATCATGAAACACACAAATACGTTTACCGGACGTGTGATAGACATACAGACGTGTTGACATGTGCTGTTTATTCATGGCATTGGAAATGTTTTAATTAACTCGATTTGGCACATTTGGAAATGTTTATCACAAAGGTTGAACACTGACGCAAATCCTGAAAGGGCATAATTTTTTAATTTGTTTTTACGTAGCCACCAAATTCTGAACATGGGTCGGTCTGTCGGGGGAAAAAACTAAAAAACTAATAAATAAAGACAAAATTAACCGAATAATGTTCCTGCTTCTCATTTATTGTAATTCTTAATACAATTTCTCTCGTTCTTTGGACTTGTGGCAGCGACTGATTAAAACATTTTAGGTAGACGAGGCGGTACGTTTTAGGTTCGAGTCGGCCGTGTTGGAATGAAGGTTTTGATGTTGTTTTGGGGTTGTTTTTTGGTTTTTGTTGTTGTTTTTTGTTATTGTTTTGGGGGGGGGGAGCGGCAATAAAATTAAAAGGGTCGGTCGGGCGGTGAGAAACACAAAATATAAAAATGCTGCAGTTTAGAAAGCAATATCAGATGACTATTGAGCAGTTGTTTGCATAAATATTACAGTTCAGTTAAGTGAACAAGGAACAAGAGCACGTACAAAATATTCATTGACATTGCAAGTTTTTAACATACACAAATACAATATTTGTGACTAATACTTTTTTACTTGCAGGAAAGTTCAAATACAGGAGTCGGACATGTCTCTGCTGCACAGTATGAAGAGATTCCCTATTTCATACCTGACAGATACATGTACCAGCACCAGTCAGACAGTTGACACACCAATAGGTCCTCAGGTTGTTGGATCAACTCTTGGACATCAAGTAATTAATCTTTATCTTGAATTAAATATCGCATAAAATTGGTCAAGAAACAGCACACAAACCAAATTTGATTTACTGAGGAAAACAAACTTAAATGCAATTTTTTACCAACAATTTTGAATTTTTTTACCCTTCCAATGGCATTTTCGACCACCACTCTGTGTGTTGCAATTTTCACTGTTTCTGCCACATCAGACACACACATCTGACCTATATCTGGTGCAAAAGGGGGAATGTTGAGGCGTAATCCAGTGGCCCTTATTTCCTTTTCAATATTAAAGCCCTTGTCTGCCATCAGACCATCTTCCCACACTTAACCATTTCTCTGAGGAGGGACAGATAACCACTTTTTCAGTTAATTCTTTGTCTGATATCGCCCCAGAAAACAGCATTGATATGAATGTAATTGAACCTATTGGGTCCACACCAATGAGACCTTTCAGGGTAGTACTTGATTTGTAATCTGAATATGCTTGACTTTGCCTTGTCAGTGAAGAGGGTATTTCTGTTCCATCAATGATACTGAAAGTGTTTGGAAATTCCTGGCGAAATTTTGAAGGCATATGTTGCTGCAAAACATCACGGTGAGGCCAAATTGACACAGATCCAAACCTGTAATATAAGTAATTTATCCAATTTGAAAACGCAGTACTGCAATCTTGGGGTGATATCAGAAACAACTTTGAGAGATGTTTAAATTTAAAATTCTGTCTAAGTTTAATCAGAACAAGCAAAAGCTGTTTTCAAGACCCATACACTTCAAACTGCTAACTGTTCTGGTAAATTGAAAAGGTTCATCATCAGCATTGCCAGGGACAACAAATTTAAATATTTTCTGAAACTGTTCGTAGGGAAATCCTGTGTAATACTTGTAATCTTTTTTCTCTATATTTTTACAAAATGAATACACATCATGCTTAACATTTTTAGCACTAATTTTGGTGTTGATCTGCTGGGCACGCATGAGCTCCTCCTTTTCTAGGATCAGTTTGGCCATATCTTCTTTCAGTTGCTTGTTCTCTGCAGATAGAGCCAGCATATCCAGTGGCAGAGGACCTGTAAAAGCAATTACAGCTGTTTCAAACAATAATACATTCTACAGGGAAGAAATGATCTGGCTAGCTTAGGGCACCAAACTCATTATTAGGCCTGAAACAGACTTACATATTATCAATCTGACTTGTTGTAATGTTTAAAAAATGCTTTGCACACAAAAGAATAAGTTAGAAATGAACACATAGCACCCACAACATACTTGTGTCAATTTGAGATTTAAGAAGTAAAACAGCCTTATTACCTCCCTTGTATGAAACTAAGTGTGAATAAACTGGCTTCTTCTCTTTACAGGCACCCTTAATTAGACCAATAGTGGTTCCAAAGATGGAGGACAGGTGCGGAGATGTCACATTTCCAAAAGATGACCGAACTGGATTCAATTGCAACCTTAAAACATCAGTGGAAAGATTTAGAACTTTCAGTTGACGAGTCCCATAATTTAGAAAAAAATACAAGATCTCAAAGCAATTCTGATTTGTGGAACAAAGCGAGGAAAGGGCGAATTACTTCTTCAAACTTTGGTCTGCTTATGACTCGCAAAAAAACAAATCAATGACACATTTATCAGAAACACCTTTGACAAAAAGAAATTTTCCTCCAATCCAACAATTTATGGGAATTCTAATGAGAAAATAGCTAAACAAATGTACATGAAAAAAACTCAAAATCATCTTCATGACATTGGCTTTGTTGTGAACCCATCTATTCCATTTATAGGAGCCACCCCTGATGCTATAGTGTGTGACACTTCTGTTTCTGGTATTGTGGAAATTACGTGTCCTTATGCTGTAAGGGACTTGACCATTAATGAAGCCTCCTGTATGACTGGTTTCTTTTTGAAAAAAGAAGGAAAATATTACAACTTGAAGAGAGGTGATAGGCATTGGTATCAGGTACAGGGCCAACTACTTGTAACTGGGGCACCATTTTGTGACTTTGTAACCTACACCAGACAAGACTTTAACATTGAACGGGTATATCCAGATAGGAATACCTTCAGGACTCTGCTTGAAACTCTGTCACAAACATATGTCAATCACTTCAAACCATACTTAGCAGGGAAACAAACTTCATAGAAAATTACCCATGGTGTCACTTTGTTGGACAAGAATATCAGATTCCTGCTGCATGGTTGTAGGCTCTGGATGTTCCATATCCATCTGATTTGGTGAATCAGAAATATCTGTATCATGATTACATCTGAAAAAGAAGATGAAGACCAAATTATCGTATACCTGAACCTCAAATGTGTTACAGCCTTTAAATGGTTACCATCTTTGTCGATTTCCTATAACTTCTTGATTACCTATCAGGACTATTTATGCCTGGATTAACTTTTCTAATATATGTGTTTATTGCTATTACAATTCAGCGATAAATAACTTTTGGCTTCACTTGTTAAGTGCCCACAGTTGACATCATATCACTGTTGTTGTTTCACATGTAATATTGCCATCTGCTTCCTAGTTTTATTCGTCTCCCAGCTGATGCAGGAGTAAGAATATTTAAAAGAACCACTGTCGTTGCTGATCTCAGTGGTTACAGCAAATGTACATGTAAATTAATGTTGTATTTAAACATATTTAAAAGAACCAGTGTCGTGGCTGATCTCAGTGGTTACAGCAAATGTCCATGTTGATGTATTAATATTTATGATGGATTGTAATGAATACTTTGAATCCTTCAGAGTTATTGTGTATTATCACTCAATATTATGGGCCTTGGGTGAAACACAGTTTTGTCTGGAGCAATTAGATGTTTATGTCAATATGCACCTGCTGCAGCTGATATCAGTCCCTTCATCATGCTTATATGAATAGAACTTGAGTATGATTGTGATCTTGTGATGCATGTGATACTTCTGTCTTTTCGTAACTACAAAGGATCTAAATGTGTGACATTACCTTTACTAACTTTCTGTGATACTCTCAGAATAAACAAGGATTTGTTTGATTTTTATATTTCAATGGTTTTGTCGTGTTTTGTGAGCAGTAAGTATAAGGCAACAATGTTTTACCTGTGTGTTTCAAGAAGAACTCTCCTTTTTCCGTCCCCCGTAAATGGCAAGCGTGGTTTGGGTCGTGGTCATACTGTCTTTGGATTTTCATTTTGTTCATGAGGTAGTGCAGACGCAGGGTCCGGAAATGTCTTGGAGGGTTTTCCATCAACAAAGTGCTGTAAATAAGCTCGCATTTATTAGTCGATAGAAACGACGAAAAACAACATGGATGTATCTGAAATCGTATGCTCAAACACAGACATACCACGCGGTGAAACATTAGTAACTAAATCAATGAAAATCGGTGTAAACTGGTTATATAACAACTAAAAAGCACTGAAAGTCTACCAAGTCAAAGATTTCTAAATTTACATTAACTTCAACATTGGTTAAGATGTTATTCAATTTTAGTTTCCATACCTTTGTCCATACGAAGAAATGTTTTCCTCGGCTCTGGTCACGAAGTATGTCCATGTTCAGTTGATACTTGGGGCGACCACACAAACGTATCCATCGTTGACATTTGTCAAAATTTCTGGCAGGCTTGGGAAATGGAATAAAGGTGATACCACCAGCAAGTCGTTCCGGGTACCGCGTGTCCGAGTTGCAGGTACCCCAGCTACACCTTTTCACCATGATCAAAAAGTTGACTATTTTTTAAAAGTCCGCCAGACCGCTGATGTCTGACAAAATGGTGGTCAGCTGTCAGCTGACGGCAACGCGATGCGGATTGAATAATTTGACGTTTCTCATTGGTCATGTCATTTGTTTGATTGACAGGAGGCGATACGTTAATTAAACCTGCAAGTTACTTAAAGTATGGAATCAATTAATAGTGTCGATTTCACCGATTGTCGACTCCACATTGCACCGAAACAAAAGTACATTTATAGTCACATCGGCAATATTTCATCCATATTGTGAAAGTTATAAATTAACAATAAACGCAATTGAATTATAAGAACCCTGTTGACATAGACAGTAAAATAACTAGATTATCACAGAGAATTAACACTAGCAAGACAATACTTTTACGATACTTTAACCCCCTTTGAGGAAGCAGCCACTAACAATCGTAGTTTCTAATTTATACAGCCATTTATTAAATAACATTTAATAAATATCCATTTACAGAACACATATTGTTCAAAATTTAACTTATAATTATTTTTCCTTAAAAAACAATTATTAAATGATACATTACAAAAAACTTACTTTATTGTTTTGACACTGAAATACTTATCCCTTGTGATGGAAAAAACAATACAGTCAAACAGGACATGCTTGGCCGTGATTCTTTTGTCACAAGGGATGCGAAACGGCGGATCCCCACCTTCTTAACAGGTATTCATGAGTATATCTAGTATGGCCAATACGACATCGTCGCATGATGACCTCTTCAAATCTGGACTGACCACCCAAGTAGGTGTAACCGATATAGGGTTTTATAGCATGTAATTTATTAATACCTACTTGAGTGTCCCACTTCTTCTGCATCAGATCACAAATGTATGATCGAATGGTTGCTTTGTAATCGGAGTATGGAATAAGAAGTGGTGTCACAGATTTGTTGAGTGCTGCCTTGGCACCAAGATCGGCCATTGTGTTCCCAGAAATGCCAACGTGGCTGGGTAACCAACAGAAGACGATGTCGTATTGGCCAGTATCAAGATCATTATATAATTCAATTATAATTTCGATTAAAAGTGGATGTTTACACGAAAGATTTTTAATAGTCTGAAGGCACGAAAGAGAGTCTGAAAATATTTTATATTGTTTGAATTTTGTGTCATGATACGCATAAACATACTTTCATTTATTCACAACCTCCAAAACGTGGGACAAAATGTATTTTGAGCAAAAGTAAATATTCTCGCCCTTGGGCCAAATGTTTTTGGCCCATGGTCGATATTTTTTTAATATGGCTCTAAACTAGCCAAATTAAGTCAAAATAAGTTGAATTTTGTGTCATGATACTCAAAAAACATATATTCATTCATTTACAACCTCAAAAACATGGAAACACATGTATTTTGAGCAAATTTACTTTTGCTATTTACTATTCATTCATTTACAACCCCCAAAACATGAAATCTAAGCGAAACTAAACATTCTCGCCCATGGGCCGGCTCATGAACGAGCGAGTTTAAATTTTGAGTTTTCGAAAAAGGTTTTTGTTGCAATTTTGTCATCCCCAGCATATATTCATAACTACTGCATGTATAATTTGGTCAAATCCCTTGTCAGAAAGTAGCCACAGTGCGGAGAGTTAAATTGTGACGTGTTTTATATAATTCAATTATTTTTATTAAAAGTGGATGTTTACAAGAGAGATTTTGAATAGCCTGAAGGCACGACAAAGAGTCTTAAAATATTACATATGGTTTATATTTAAGATGTTTTTAATATATTTGAGCGCTGTTAAGATGGCATTGGGTTCTGCTGTAAACATAGACCTGTTATCCGGTAATCTGGAAGGTATTGTTCTGATCCAATGACAGTGGCACAGGTCACTGCGCCACCGTCCTTGGACCCACCTGTAAATAAGGATTTGTATGTATTATACTTACATTTTAGGTGATTACATTCTTGTTTATATTGTAATTTTTTAGTGTCTGATGTTTTAAACTTTGTCAGTGTTAGGTTAGCCTCACTAACTGCCAAGGAGGAGAAGAAAGGAGAAGGGAAGGGGCTATTTTGTCCAGCTCAATACCGGCAGCAGACGTGAATGGTTTAATTCTTAGCCCAAGAGGCGGAACAAGAGAATATTTCTTATTGTATAAACCCTCATAGAGGGGATTTGAAGACACAGTTAAATGCAGGGTTAGACTCGTTAGAATATAGTTTTGTTATATACTGTAAGGATACGAGACACTATAAATACATTAAGTACATTAACGATACACACATGATAGAATGTAATATGGGAGATAGAAATTTAGGCAGATTGTAGATAAGACACACTGATAACAACAACAGACTCCTGGATGAAGCAACAAAAGAGAAAGAAAAAGATTAACAGGAGATTCTTAAAATAATCATAATAAATTAAGTAAACTTGATGTTGAAGGTGTTGCTAGAGTCACTCTAATCCGCTTGTAGGTGTTGTTGTAAGTTTTTCGATAACGTGAGCATCTTGTAAGACATGAACATAGTTAATTGGTATGAGGTCAAATGGACAGGACGTCGACCTTTTTCATGAATCAACCGTGACATTTCACCCAAGGGTCGACGTCCTGTGCATACACATGATTCAGTGTTTGGGATTTAGGATTTTTGTTTGGGATTTAGGATTTTATTCTCATAAATCATACAAAAAGATATAGAGAACATGCATTTATTTGGATAAATACAAAGTGCCATTATGGCTATATGCATATGAATATAATATAAATGTAGAACTAAAGCAGGGATTGCTCAATTTTCGTTAAACTTGACAGTTTCTGTACCATAGGATGATTTCATAAGAGAAATAAATTTATCAATATGATATTATTACAAAAATAACTAGGGAGTATACTTTTTCTTACATCATCTAGAGCTTGGTATGATAAGATAATATGAAATTCGTCACACATAACATGGTGCTTACAAATTGTACATATTCTGTTTTCTATGTCTATATTCTACCGTGTGTCAGTTTCAACCGGTAATCTGTAATTGAATGTTCGCAGTTTTGTCAACCAGTCACGTTGTTTCAATGGGAGGCAGATTTTAAGTTGGGAGTATGCTTATATAACGAGTAATATTTACCTTTTGATGAATTGTGAATGGCAGCATTCCATGATTGTTTAAACTGATCTATAAGTGTGTATTTAACATAGTTTTTCAGCCAGGATGCGGAAGGAAAACTTTGGTACTGCCATATATAAGATTACATAACATTTTGAAGTATACTTTTAACTACAGTTAAAAGATCAAATTGCATACCCAAACAAGTCGACACATTAGCTATTACATTATACACTATATGTGGTAACTTAGGTGTTGATGCAATGATTTACACCAGTAACTTATGATTCTTGTTTTAATCTTTACTTCAATAGGATATCTACAGACTTCCCCCCTAATGTTAAAAATTACTTTAAGTATATATTTACAAAATTTCAGATGCGTTCTTTCTAAAATAATTGCATTTCCATACCCCAAACGTCCGAGCCATATAATAAAATTGGTAAAACGCCTTGATCAAAAGGTTTCAGCTGACAGTCAATTGGGATTTCAAGTTCCCTAATTGTTTTAAAACCAAAAAACATCGCCCTTATTGCTTGTTCTGCAATGCTCTTAAATGCTTTTGCAAACTTACCATTGCCGTTAAATAGAATTCCCAAGTATAGATATTCTCGGGCAGCTTTAATTTCCTCATCAAAAAGTTTAAACCTATACTTGTTCTTTACATAGCCTTTTGAAAAGATTACAATTTTGGATTTGTCTAAGTTAACTTAACATATGTTATATTTGGGATTGCACTTTCTTAGTAAAGTACAGATTTAAGTACTTTTGGGGGTTGAGTCCAAAAGGGGTTTGGACCCACACCCTGAGAGTCAGGCACCTAATCGGGTGTAGACCACTTTCTGAATGGCATTGTGTATTCACAAGTTATATTATCGTTTCCACAATATACACTATGTTGAGAAATGTTTGATCGTGATTCTTTCATCACAGGGGATACAGAACGGAGGATCTTCACCTTTCAACAAATATCCATGTGTGTATCTCTAATGGCCAATACATGCCCGTGTAGAGTCTCAATGACGTCTACGAATCTGGACTGAGAAGCCATGTGGGTATCACCAATAGTTATTTCATTTTATGTAGTGTATTGACACTAACTTGGGTGTCCCACTTCTTTTGCATTAGATCCCGGATGTAACACCTAATGACAGGTGTATAATCATTGTGTGGGATAAGAAGTGTAGTCACAGATTTGTTGAGAACTAGTCGTGTTACTAGTGATTCCAACATGACTGGATAACCAACAGAAGACGATATTGTATTGGCCAGTAGCAAGTGCATTGACTGATTCAATTATT